GTAGGGAAACAAAAGTCACAACCTCTGGTGCAAAATAAGATGCATAAAGTCATACTCTTCATTGTGATTTAAATAAAACTAACGTGACAAATATTTTGTGGAGGTGAAACTAAGTTTTGTTTCTCAGTTAGAAAAATTTATCTGTGCAATGAAAACTAGGCGGATGAGAAACCTCTGAAACAGTCTGGGTCGCATCGTCATGTGTGAACTGTCAGGGAAACGTCTCACGTTTGAGCTTCATCCAATCACAGCAGCAGCACAAACCTCTCATGGCTGGACTCAAGTAGATGTCTGCTGCTGTAGAACTGAAATCATTAGACAAATCATCCCATGTAAAACTTTACCAGGAGCAAGTTTGATACTGAAGTGAATCAAACAAGAAAAGGGGAACAAGGAGTTTTCACCTGGAAAGTTCCAGCAGCTGCTTCTCTGTACAGTTTTAATAGCTGTATATTTTGGACTGTTGATCTGACAAGACGTTTAACTAACACGACTCGCTGGTTAAATCTCCCAATGCAATTATTCGTTGCTTCATCTTTTGACTAAACTGGACATTTGTGACCTGGGTGTTAAATATCATTTTACAGATGAGGATCCAACAGGATCATAGTTTGTCTTGAACCGGCCCAATCTCCTGCACCATCAGAAATACTGGGACTTTCACTAACCAGAATCAAGTAGGAGAAAATCTGTTGTTCAACGTCTAGAAGTTAAAACCAAAAGGAGGCATCGTGTCACGCATTTACAGGTTCATGAGAGCAGGGGAGGAAGCTGCTCTGGTCACTGAGGAATTCATTTGACTGGCGAGTTTTCAGACATCAGGGAGGAGGCATCTGATTTGTGCAGCACCAGAACACAAACCAATCACAGTGCGCCTCAAACAGACAACACACCTGAGCAGCGTCGTCACCACAGACTGGAATGCAGGTGAAACCAGTTCAACCAGACAGGAGAGACAGATTTCATCTGCTGGTTGTGTGTGTGTGTGTGTGTGCGCATCAGGAGTTTATATGCGGTTGCTTTCTGCTCTGTTGAAATTTTAGGCTCAGCTTTTAAAAACTTAAGTACAAAACCAAGTATGTTTAAATTAGTACTGAGCTTTTAAACTTTTATTATGGTGCAGTTGTTGTACAACTTCAGCTGTTACTGAGCCACACCAGTGACGTGAAATGCATTTTGACTGACTAATGATTATTAGTACCCCTGTGAGGAGAGCGTCTCCAGTGTGATGAGTGTTCTGGTGTTTGCACAAAACGGGACGTGCGTTGACCTTTGGTCTCCAGGAGCCACTGCAACAGAATAAATACTCGAGAAGAAGATGCAGATTCATCAGTAATAAAAAGCCAAAGTTTCAGTACCAGAGGGAAACAACAGCGTGCATCAATCTGTTTAGTTCACTCAACCTGCTGCGGATCAGTCTTGGAACTATGGCTCCAACTGCCAAGCATTTTCATTACTGTTCCATGTGCTGACTGTTTGACTGCAGTGATGAATCTTTAGGGCTAGAAAGCAGCAGAAACACACGCCCATCAGTTTCCCGGTAGAGCCCAAGGGGACGACGTGCGTGAAACAAGAAGAGCAACCAGTTCTTCCCAGGTTGAAACCCTGAAGCTCAGTAGCTGACCAGGGCTGCAGTTGAATCAGTCACAATGACTGCAGCGCTACGATCAGAGCTGTATCAGCCCCTTGGGGAGATTAGAAACTGTTCCCTGACCCATTAGTGAGCAGACCAGCTCAATGTTCACCATGATTAGAAACTGTTCCCTGACCCATTAGTGAGCAGACCAGCTCAATGTTCACCGTGATGCTCCCAGCGTCATTCAGAGGATTCTCCATCCTGGAATAAACTTGTTTGGAGAGAAAAATGCCAAGGTCTTAACGGCATGGAAATGTCAGTGTGTCAGTCAGGAGCAAGACACACCACAGAGTCCAGTGGTGATCTGATCTACTCAGCCTTGCTGGTCTTGGCCTCAGCATCGCGGCGGCGCAGGTACGTCTGATAGAAGAAGTTGGAGAAGAGCAGCAGGTAGCTGAGGTACATGAGTGCGGCCCAGGTGATGTTGTCGATGCGGGAGGGGCAGTCGCCCTGCTGCAGCCAGAGGTAAACCAGTCCCGTCACCATCAGCCCCATGGCCATCTGGGTGATCTGAGCACTGGTGATCAGCACGGCGAAAGGCCGCGGTACACGTAGGCTGGCAGCACGTGCCGCGTAGTAGCTGTACATAAGCGCATGCACGGCGTAGTTCATGGTCATGAACCAGCCACCGCCGGCCACCATGTCTTTGTAGGAGTACCAGGAGTAGAGCAGCACGGTGATGTGGTGGTACCAGTGCAGGAAGAGCAGCTTCTGCTTCCGCAGCACGATGAACACTGTGTCGCCTGCAACACAAAGCACAGGTCAGGAAGCCAGTCGGGTTTGGGTCACTGGGCAAGTGATGAGGTTTACTGACAGCAGTGGGGAAAGCACCAATTAAAAGCACTACAAGTCCTGCATTCAGAAGTACAACAGGGCCGGTCAAGGGCGGATCATGACCCAACAGGTCCCTGGGCACAGACGTGTGAAAGGCCCCAGACTACCAACACTACAGCGGGGACCAGGTGTTCTTTATTCACCATCACTGGGTGTGTGTTTGTAATAGTGTAATTTCTCCAACTAGAAACAACCCAACTTATCCCGACTCCGTTTGTAAAGTCAGTAATGAAAGATAAAGGGAAAAATGCCTGTGAACAGCACGGTAAAACTTGGCTGACAAATTACCAGCTCACGGCAAAATACTGCTGTACATTGAGCTGCACCTTGTTTTGATTGATAGTTTTAGATCTAAAATACTTCATTTACTCAGCAAGGGTTAGTTCACAGAAATAAAACATCTATTAGGACAAAAACTAATTTTAAACTGAAACCGAATTAGTGAATTCTTCACTTACATCACAGAGACTAATGATGAAAAGGAGGTTTCCTGCTCCGTTTACACTGATAAGAGACAATAAGTCAGATTCTCTGAATTAATCCAAACACTGTGCATGTCCAGTAAGACAGTGAACTGACCGAGCTCGGGAGCTTTACTCAGGACAAAGGCGTAGGCCCAGAACTTGCTGACCGGTCCAATGTAGAAGCTCTGATCGCAGATGGACTGTCTGAAGCCGCCACTGCTGAGGATGTGGAGCATGTAAGAGCCAGTACGAACCGCACCAATGATGCTGAAACACAACCACAGGAGGAAATCTATCAGCAACAACACAGCAGGAAACAAATGGCTGAAACAGACACATGTACACAATAACTAATGTCATTGCACAGCACTGCAACAAAATGTACTTTGCATCCCTGATATGTTGTCAGGTATAAGATACAATAAATACTCAAATGGTAAAATAACTAGATAAAATACACACACTAAATTGTTGGTACCCTTCTGTTAAAGAGAAACTCACAATGGTCACTGAAATAAGGTGAAACTGACAAAAGTAATAATAAATAAAAAATTTACTGAAAATTAACTAATGACAATCAGTCATTGCTTTTGAATTGTGGTTCAACAGAAGCATTTAAAAAAAAAAAAA